AACGGTCTGAACCTTGGTGATGAAGTCCGACACTCCTTCGGTTTCCTTCATCTTCATCCCCTCCAACTCTCCTCGAAGAGTTTGAAGTCTGACCTGCTTCACACGGTCTGCGCCTTTGTAGACCGTCTCCAATATATCCCAGGCCTCCTTTGCCGTCGTTGCGCCTCCAATCTTTTCAAGACCACCGGTTTTGTAACATCCCCAGCCTCGAGCCGGTTCAATTAACATGCATATGATACTTAACAGAAACAGCAGAAGAATTAACTTACGAAAATACGAACTAACTTTTTCTTTTTCTTTAATCCTTTTTCACATGACATATCACATTGCATACTTCTTCTAATTTAATTCTTATTTTACGGAGACGAAAATTGGACAGAGTAACCTCTGTAAATTGAACAACTGGGGATTTTCCAATCCCACTCTCAAGAGTTCCTGATAGACAGTTTAAACAATATATATTTCCAGAAGTACCAGTCATGAAAATATACTCAGATACCCATCTATGGGCGCATGCTGAACTTGGCTCCGTGCCACAAATCTAATAGCATGCAATCCAATACATAACATAACTGAATACTACATAGTCATATCATCATGCCTGAATACATAAATGTACATGTATCGAATATGAACACTATGCAACAATACATCTTTTCCAAAAATACGTCTAAAACAAATAGTAGCATCCGACCACCCAGAACTCCACATCCTCATACTAGTACCTCTAGCCACGGTTAGTGTCCTTGTCCCATGAGGCTCTTCAATTAACTGTGTTCCTGAAATCATATCCCCAAACGGGGTTAGAGACGAATCTCTAGTAAACTCCAGGTTTATGGAAAACCCTCCATACCCTGGGCTCACTTCCTGCATGCCAGTCAGATACATAATATACAAAACATCATATAAGCAATTATCATAACTGAACAAAGCATATATACATATCTTATCAAAGACAAACGCATTCATTCCCAAGGGATGACCCCAAGCGAAAATCAACGCACATAACAAATATCTTTTACAAAAATCATCACAATACTCACATCAGAACAAAACGTGTTATATCAGAGACGTACGCAATCGTTCCCAAGGGATGACCCCAAGCGGAAATCAACGTACATAACAAATATCATTTACAAAATCATCATACATATCCCATAAAACATGTCATATAATCAAATATCATAACTAAACAAAACATATACACATATCTTATCAGAAACGTACGCAGATAATCCCAAGGGAGGACCCCAAGCGGAAATCAACGCACGTGTTCCCAAGGGAGGACCCCAAGCGGAACCAGAACATATCAGAGGCGTACGCAGTCAATCCCAAGGGAGGACCCCAAGCGGAAATCAACGCACGTGTTCCCGAGGGAGGACCCCTAAGCGGAACCAGAACATATCAAAGGCGTACACTATCAGTCCCGAGGGAGGACCCCAAAGTGAACATCCGGGTACTATACAATCAATGGCCAGATATTGTTACAGAAATCATATTACAGAAGTCATATAATAACAAAACATATCATATTAACACATATCAAAGTAAATACATCAAAACAAAACATATCATATTATCATATAGCTCTATATGAATGCATCTATATCATATATCTCATACATATCATACAACCTGACCACAGTCCGTACACTATGGCGGAACACAAAGTAGGAGCGAACCCCATAAACATAGAGCTTACCTCTTGGAGCTTTACAATTTTCTTACTTGAAGAACAAGCTACTTATCATGCTCCACGAGAATCCAAACGTTCACAGTCCCTAGGTACACCTAGAGAAGGAATTCAACACAAAACTCAATAAAATGATATAATGCCATGTAAATATACAAGACACACACTTTATTGTTTATTTTCTTTTTACTTAATCATATTAAGTCATGAGTGGGTGGTTCTTTGTTCAATAAATCCCCACAAAATTTCACACATTCACTTAGTCTTAGGATAGTCCCAACTTAAGGCAGAATGCCCATTACAATGGAGCTATAAGATTTCTCTTTGTCTAGTGCCTAAACCCAAGCTTAGCCACCTATATAAATTATTTTACGCATATAAGTGTTCTCACTTTGCGAAATAATATCTCCGAACATATACCTCCTTTGAAAATGGCTAAAACTCATTTTAAGGTCATACAAAGGAGCTACCTTATTTTCTTTTTTATTTCACCAAAGCGAAGGTCCATATACCTTAGAATATTATTCCACGCATAAAAGTATGCTCGATTTGTAAAACAGTAACTCATAGCACATACTTCCTTTGTAAATGGCTAAGAGGCACATAAAGGAATTCATGCCAACTTCATGATTCCAATGCTTTAGTCCATCAAATTCAAGCTTATCACACACCTCTAATCCAAGATTCATTAATTCATATATATACGGTACTACGGTACTGTTCATCTCTACAATACTATTCATGTATACGTCACTATTCACGTATACAACACTATTCAAAAATATGGTATCTTTAATTTTTCAGATACATTTTCATCGTTAAAATTCTCATCTAAACACTTTTCTCAACATGAGCTAAACCTGAATCAAGCTCTAACATGCTCAATCAAACCAAATTTTCAAAATGAAACCATAAATTCAATCTTCATAAAAACATGAAAAGGAAGGGAATTTCTTACCACAATACACTCTAAAACAAAGGAGAGATGAGTATCTAAGCTCCCATGGCCTCAAGCTCCATCAAAATCCATCTTTTCCATGAAATTCGAAATCTTTGGAGGAGGAGATCTCTCTCTACAGTGAAACCCACCCAGAAATACTAGTACCAATGGATTCCTCTCGAAATTCTCACAAGTTTGGCTTTTGAACGAAGTGATTTGGAGGTCTCTAGCTCAAGTTATGAATTTTGGAAGATTTCCATCAAAATCCTTTTTTTTTTCTTCATTTTCATGCTCTTTGTCGCTGCCTCCCGTATAAGTCACGAGATGAGAATGGGAATAGTGACTCCCTAGTCACTTAAGCAAGTTCATTATATCAGCGGGTATAAGTTCATCTATCTACCCACCTCCATTCATTGCCAAACTTTACCCTATAGACTAGAATATTTTTCTAGTCACGTTTCTATTTTATTTTCACTTTTTGGATAACTTTATTTACCCGCATTTTTATCCCTTAACTGTCATTTTAACTCTTTTTTCACCAAAGGTGACTTTATTTCTTTTACTTCTAATTATTCTTCAATATTAAATCCACAATTACTAGTGAGGGTTATTATAGGTTTCTTCTACAGCTTGAAACATCATGAATAGTGCCGCTGCATCCTTTGTTCTCAATGCACTCAACTGCTTGAGTTGATTTGCTGAATATCCTTTTGTTGTTTCAGGTTCTTCGAACCCATTTTGCACCAATCCCCAACTGTCATAGGCTCTTAGAAGAGCCTTCGTTTGGATGCTCCAGTTTTCATAGTTCACCTTTGTCAGGCGGGGCACTGGCAGACTATTACTCATATTCTCCATTGGCTCAAGCTCTGATACCAATTTGTTATTTCACAGGCCCTTTAATTGGTGCTCACACACACACACACACAAAATACACAGACAATTCTCTGAATATACCTCTATTATATTACTGATTCTGCCAAGCCCAAATTACAAGAGTTACAGTGTGCTATTTATAAGCAATAGTAAATGATTAAGAGTGATAATGACTAACATTGGAAATCTAAACATATTAATTGTCCACTAACATATACCTAGGGACACACCTCTTCACCATAAACCTTTCATTTTTCTATTTTTCTTTTATTTAATTTAAAACTTATCCAACAATAGATGCATTGTTACATTTAAAATTTTAGTTTTGTCAATTCTTCGATTCAGCTCACCAATTTATGTTATCAGATTGGCATCTACTTTAAATGAACAATATGTAGTTTCTGAAGTTTTTCACGCGTTCCATTGAATATGAATAAAATCAACCGTTTTGTTAAAAGTTTTCTTCTGGAACTATAAGTTAAACCCTTATAGCAAATCTCTTTCAATGAGCTAACTTAAAGTAAAGAGATATGATGATTTGATAATATCCCTTCTCTTCTAAGAGACTCATTTACATCTTGGAGGCTTTTACGAAGCACATTGACGTTTGATATTGGTTGTGTTTTAAGTTTGAAAACAGGATTGACGTTTGATATTGGTTGTGTTTTAAGTCTGAAAACAGGTAAGGCTGGACCTATAAAGAACGGGGAAGGATCCGTTTACAAACTTTTTTACAAATTATACTAAATATTTTACAAATTACATTAAATATGACCGGTCATATACTCTTGATTGAAGTATGACTGGTCATACTTAATGTAGTTTATAAATAAAAAATTTATAAATATAACCTTCCCGTCAAAAAATATGCTGCTAAGGTGCTACCTCTGTTGGGTTACTTGTATATTTACATTATGGGACAAGATCCGTTTACAAACTTTTTTTGCAATTACATTAATGTAGGATCGGTCGTACACTGTGTGATTAATGTAGGACCGGTCCTATATAGTGTAGTTTGTAAGAGTTTATAAACAAAAAAGTTTATAAATATAACCTGCCCCTTACATTATTGATAAAAAGTATAAACCATGTTACATGTGCAATACTATTATGCCACTCAATAAAGAACAAACTGGTGTTTGATACCAGAAGTACCTGATCCTTAAAACACTGCAATTGTATACAAGTTCAAACATTTTAGCCGTCACATTTTCTTTTTGTCTCATCTTTTCTTCTTGTCGTTACGTTTTCACACACATTCTAGCCGTCCTATGATACCCAAAAATGGCACAATCAATCAGCTGCATGAATACAAGGTAAAACTTGCATAGTATTCATCGTTGTTTTTTAATCATCGAATTGGTGCCTTCTCAAAATTTCCAACCTAACTAGTGAAAGCCCTTATATATAAACAAAGCCATAACAAAATCGCAAGCACCCCATCTTCAAAGTTCCAAATATTTTGAAAGGCCTTTTACAATGCAAGTCTACACCATGTATTCTAGTACTACACTTAAATTCTTATCACTGATCATCTATGCTTTTGCCATTGTGAAAATAACAAATGCTAGTGACCCAGATATTCTATCTGACTTCATAGTCCCTCCTAATATAACCACAATTGATGGGAACTTCTTCACCTTTACTGGTTTCCGTGAACTTTATGCACAAAACACACCACCCTCAACTTTCAAGGTATTGAAGGCAAGCAAAGCAGAATTTCCAGCTCTTGATGGACAAAGTGTCTCATATGCTGTTCTTCAATTCCCAGCTGGGAGCATCAACCCTCCACATACACATCCTCGTTCTGCTGAGCTACTTTTTGCTGCTCATGGTTCTCTTCAAGTGGGGTTTGTGGACACAAGCAATAAGCTCTTCACTCAGACACTAAAACCTGGGGACTTGTTTGTGTTTCCTAAGGGACTTGTGCACTTTCAATACAATGCTGATACTCAGAAGCCTGCTCTGGCTGTATCTGCCTTTGGTAGTGCCAATGCTGGGACTGTATCAATTCCTAGTACACTGTTTAACACCACCATTGATGACAATGTCTTGGCTTTGGCCTTCAAGACTGATGTTGCAACTATTCAAGCTTTGAAGAAAGGCTTTGCTTCCTGAGCATCAAGGATTCTGATTCCATCTGTTAGTTCAATATTACCATTATGAGTTTACCCTTGAGTTCTTTCTGTTTACCTGATTGCTGATGTTGTTTTTGTTCTTTCAGTGTCTCATGTTTCATTATTTCTGTATGTGTTCACAAATTTTTTGTGACAAATTATATAAAAGTTGTGACAAATTAATTTTATGTTAGAAATTCTTACATTATTTCTTACACTATAACTGTCATATAAATAACTTGTTTAATGATCTTTTTTTTCTTTTATATTATCTATTATTGGTTTATCAATGGGAGAATCACTGGGCGGCAAAGCTCACTACCAAGTTTTAATATAGATGCGTTTTCAGGGTCTTGAATTCGAGAAGACTAATTAAGCTGAAACAATATCTTATCAGTTGATCCACGAGATTGATAGTTAAAAATCAGAAAATTTAAAGTAAAAGAAGAAGAAAAAAGTATTACGTGCATTTAATCATGAAAACTTAAAAAGAAGAAAAACTACTTAATTTTTAGTTAGGATAAAGTAATTTTTTTCCAAGAGAGTTCAGTGTCATTTACGACATTAGGAATAACTGAATAAATATTCTTGGCTTTATCGTTGATGCCCTGGCTCATGTGATCACGTGGTAACAATTCATTGATTACTTGATTGAAGGGTAAACAAAAAGAAAGCAAAAAATAAAATAAGAGAAATTTTTTCATTATTGCCCTCGTATCCTTACTTTGTTTGAGCATGAGTAATTTTTTTTGGAGTGTTGAAATTGTCTTTCCAATTGTGAAAGAAAAAAAGAAGAAGAAAACTTTGGTTGCTTCATTCAATAATATAATTGTTGTAGAAAAAAAAAGTCTGAACTTTTATTTTCAAATGATAGTGAGAAGTATGAACTTTACACCTAAAATCTAAAACATTAATTTCATGAGATAATACGTGCTTGTAGCATGCAAAATATTGATTATGCGATGTGTTTGCTGAAATAAATTATTTGCCACTCCATACATTAAAATTCAAACATTCATGAAATTTACTCACTTGTTCACAAACATTTGGCTGATCACTAAGTAGAGATACCTATAGTCACGCTATTCTATGAGCTGGTTTATGCCCTGCTTTCCTTGCACCCTATCAAACGAATCCAACACTAGAGAAAAAAAAAAGAGAAAGAAAAGAAGATACAAAAGTATATAAAGCTTAGTTTGTGCAGTTTGTATAAAAGCTTTTTCTACCTTTCATATATTTAAGTGTTCCCCCCGCTACATCTTTTTCCCCCAATCTTTCTTGTTTAGCACTTGACAACAAGCAATCTAGAAACAAAGAACTTCAACCAGAAATGGCTAGAGGAGCAGGCATTTTTCTGTGTCTCTTGATTGTAATCATGGATGTCACAGCTGGGATTCTTGGCATCGAGGCTGAGATTGCACAAAACAAGGTATGTTTTAAGCTAAAAATTATATGTACAAGGACAACTTTTAATGCTGTGAACTTTATATTAAGGTGCAATAGTTGTTTGAAACAAACAGGTCAAGCACTTAAGGTTGTGGATATTTGAGTGTAGAGACCCAAGCCATAAGGCCTTCATGCTGGGGTTAGGTGCAGTAGTACTTTTGGCTCTAGCCCATGTTGTAGCCAATTTGCTAGGTGGCTGCAATTGCTTATGTTCTCAACAAGATCTTGAAAAGGCTTCTCCCAACAGACAACTCTCAATGGCTTGTCTCATTTTAACATGGTAATGAGAGACAAAAACAGTAACAACATGAATCATTCACTAAATTTATACCCTTGTTTTTTTTATTATCTCATTTTATTTGTGTTGTTGATCAGGATTGTGTTGGCTGTTGGATTGAGCATGCTGGTTATAGGGACTACGTCAAACAACAAGTCAAGGGGTTCTTGTGGTTTCACACACCATCACTTCCTGTCCATTGGTGGGATTTTGTGTTTTGTTCATGGCCTATTCTGTGTTGCCTATTACGTTTCTGCTACTGCCATTATTAATTAGCGATTAAGATTACATCTGAAGTGGAGGTCACTTCTGATTGCTTTATTGCTTTTGGGGTTTGGCTTTTCTAAATGTTTTGCTTTACCAAATGTGTCCAAGACATTCATGCTACTTGTATTAAGGTAAAAAAAAAATGCAACCATTTTTAATGACCACCAAATTATTCTCTCCACTTATCCACTGCCATGTATCATGTATGACTATCATACAAATCTAATTTAGGTTTTATTTACTTCGTTGCTGCATATCCATGGGATTTGCTGTCACAGTGGCCAAGGAAAGATTTTCATTACTAAAAATGATATGCTGAAATCTGCTCCAGCCAAATAGATCTTTTTTGTCCTTTTTCCTACTTATTTTTTTTTAATATATATTTTAACATCACAATGGACCATTTAATTTACCAAGGGCATAATCATGAATATAAACCTGTTAGAAAGGCTTAATCTTGCACATAATCTTCTCCTCTCCATTTTTTTTTCGGGGGTGAATCTTCTCCTGTGTTAGTAATGTGCAAGGTTGGCTTATTAACTATCTGTAGAAAACTCACTAACAATAGTCACCAAACATGTAAAATATAACATTTTAGTAACAATTGATAACATCTATAATAAACCTTCACGAAGAAAATTGCAGGATGAAGATTGCTCATTCCAATATAATGATTTAATAGAGAGGAATCTTGAAAAACTACCTCCACCAGAGGAACTATCACACTTTGCCATTGACTTCAAGGAAAGCATTAACCCGATCTAAAACAACATCCATCTAATTAGTGGTTAAAAAACAAACAAGAAATCAACCTATGTCCTACCCCACATACAATTGTGGGGGGTATCCGGGTTAAAGGTCTAACAGGAACACAGCAAAGCACGTTGGATTGAGAACCCCCCCTTGCTACTCACAGTTTGATGAGGAAAACCATAGTAGACGTTAGGTAACTTCCATTTTTCGGTAGTCACCGTCACATGGAACAGATCCCTTCAGTAGCATTGTAGCACAGACATTTCTCCAAGTTAGGCGTAACGTCCGAAGTGCTGGCAAGAGAGTGATCGTCGGTGCGAAAGAGCATAGACAATGGCTCATGTCAAATTTTGCAGTTGGGGTACATGAATAAATTGAATCAACACTCGAAAGAGAGAGATTTTAGAGACTGTGCTGGTATCGGACGGTACAGTTGAAAATAGTTTATAAAAATTAATTGGTACTACCTATACTAACAAGATGTATTTACTTTTCGTTAGCCCATGACGGAAGAATTCCATAGTTAAGCGTGAGCAATTTTGTGATGGGTGACGTCCTGGGAAGTTTTTCTAGGAGGTGTCTGAGTGAGGATAAAGCTGAAAAGTTCAGTATTAATATGTGGGGATAATCATTGATTCTTGAATTGGCCATACGGTTAGGGACCCTGTCTCCATAATTGACTTTAAAGTCAGCAACACCTGCCACGTTATGAAGTAGAAATTTATGCTCTCAAGTCAAACTCACTTGCATAACTTCATAGTAAAAGCTATGTAGGTAGGTTCTCATCATCATCATCATCAGAACTAGAGTCATGCATTCGCCGCTCTGCTATGGCTGGAAATAGCCGCCTATGTACATCAGAAGGTGACGGATGACTCTTGTCTGGAGAGGATGACATGGATGGAGCCTCTATCTTGGAAATAAAAGCCTTCCCTGTCTTCATTGTTGTATCCTTCACCTCTTTGCAAACCTTATCCAACATTATCAAGAAATCACGTACAATCACAAACAAACGCAACCCTTCATCTTTTCCTGCATTCCCATGGAAATAATCTGCAGCGCTCTTAACCTGAGCCATTATCCTCTTCTCTTCCTCCATTAACCATGACACTTCTCCTTTTGTTTTCTCCACAAAACTTGCCAGGGAATGTTGGAACTCGCTATCTTCTTCGAGATTCTTCAAATCATTGTTCAGCAAGTCTTCAGCTTTTTTCAATAACACATTAAGTTTAAACACTGCAGCTGTTAGTGCATCACCATCTATAATTGCAGCCTTTTTCACATCTTCTAGTTCACTGCTTAGACCTGAAACCACTTGAAGGCCAAGGCTACGATAGTGCTCTTCTGATTCTTCATTGGTGTCCTCAATGAAATCCTCAGTTTTCATACTAGAATGGCTTTGGCTTGCTTTTGCTGTTCTAACCGCTCTTACACCCTCGGAACGTATAATCTCCTGAACTACAAAGTGAAGTAGTGTGGTCTTGCCATCGGTTCCTTTTACATCTGCAAGTTTCAAAAGAGTGTCAAGCCTAAATGCTTGAGCACCACCACGATAGGTACCATCATTCATGCGGTTTCCAGTCTTCAGAACTGCTTCTAATAGCTTTAGGAAGAGCCTGCTTTTTCTTAGTTTGTCGCAAGAAACCTGAAATTAAGATCAGATACAACAACCTCAAACGTGTTAGTTCTTAACTTTTTCTCTGTTTTAAGGTAACCAGATCTCATGAATGCATAAACATCAATCAAACTTGTAATAGTTAAGTGGATGAAGACCCGGGAAGAGGTAGAAATTGACATGATGCATGCTTTAGTTCATCGTCAATTACTATTCCCAACAATGTTATTTCTACGCCTAAACTAGTACACTTTTCCTATAATACCTACCTCTTTCAGAAAAAATAAAAATAAAATGAACCTCACTTTCTGTCTCTTCCACTTCTACCATTTTCATTCAAACTTGTAGCTAATATGCAGAAAGAATTGTGTAACTTTAAATATAGATTGGAATTTGATAAAAAGAAAAAAGGAAAAATTCATGAATCTAATTGTCACCTCTAATGTTGAAAAGCACTCCTTAATGCTTGAGGCTTCTTCTGGAAGTGTAAACATGAACATCAAAGACTCAAGACGTTTGAAAGCAAATGGAATGTCAACCAAGGCCTTGAGAAACCCCTCTGCAGGGCTAATTTGAGTAACGTCCCCTGTGAATAACCTTAGCTTCAGTTCCTCATCCGTTGTTGGCGCCATCTTCAATACTGTTTGGATGAGCTCAACAGGAATCTCGTTACCTGATTCAATCAACATATTGCAAGTAATTCACACTGTTAATCTTGGAGAAATTCCAAAAAACAATAATTGCCTTTGATTTTTGAATGCTAAAATTAATGAAGCAGAACCATAATAGAAAGAAACTTAAAAAACACATCTGTCATTCATTCTAAGTTCAATCTAGGAAATCTGAGTCCTAACATATTCACCGAACCATCATCAGAGCAAAAGTATATCAAGTCGTAAATACCAAAAAAAGAAAAAACAAACCATTAATTCTTGGTATCATGCACACATAAATGTCAAATGAACAGCATATAATGTTAAATTAAACAGTACTGAGTAGCTTTAAGTCAGAACTTTCTTAATGTGTGAGGTTATTCTATGCAATTGACATAGAATGTCTTGCCAGAACCAAAGTCATATAAAATCACTCCCCGTTAAACTCGACTAGCGAGTATGGGGTGGATGAAATTCTTGTACGCAGCCTTACCCTTGCATAATTGCAAAAAAACTGTTTCCTGGATTCGAACCCATGAACAAAGTCATATAAAAGAGGAAAAAATGAAAAGAACAAGACAATGAAATGGGTTCAAAATTTCAACAGAAACTAATAACCACTCTCTTATAAAGTAAAATTTACTTAATTGGAGCTGAAGTAACATCATTAGTCACGAAATTTTTTATGCTTGAGATCAACGTAGCTTTCCCTTAATTCTAGTCCCCTAGAGAAAGACACACTTAGACACAGAGAAGGAGAGAGAGAGAGAGAGTTACCTTCTTTAAGGGCATCAATAACTTCTTCTGTGGTTACATTCAGAGCACGTAAAAGAATTGATAAATTCTGTGCTTTCTTAGGGTCAATAATCTGAATGCACTGGATAGAAGGTTCTAGAGATGGTGACTCTTTTCTTCGTTCATTTCTGTTCGGGTTGGCGCAGCCAAATAAAGACTCTATCTTTTCTTCACTGAACCTGGTAAGTTGTAATAAATGTCAGCTATCATATTGGTATATTTTACTACTTTTAATGGAAAGTTTGATTTTGACTGGACTTAAATGTTCTTACTGGAATGACCCTGCGCTGATCTCATGCCAAACCATTGCTTGATCAGGATTTGCAACAACCTTATCCCAGAAAAATGGCTTTAGTTTCGGTTTTGGAGCATCAGATTCACCACCATCACTGGAATGAAGTGGTCCTAGAGGTGAATCTTGATTTCTACCTGCCACTGGTTTGGGAGGAGCAGGTGGAGGCCGAGATACTCTAGGAGGAGGCGGCGGAGGGCGAGGCTCAAGAGCAGGAGGCGGCGGAGGTGGAGGCTCAGGGGCTGATCTTCCCGGAGGAGGTTGTAATAGAGAGTTTGGTACTTGTCCCTTGCCATCTGATGATGATGATGTTGTCTCAACCAATGAGGCATTGTTGTCTTCAGTCTTAATGGACAAAGTCCTTATAGAAGGGTTCTTTCTATAGCTAGTACCAGATTCTTTCATATCAGAATTTTCCATACCAATAGACCTCTGTGAACCTGAATACCAAAGAAACATTGATTGAATGACCCTTTTGTAAATTGTAATGTTTCATTATCATTATCAGTTAATATAGAAAAAAAACTAAACATAGACATACCACCAGAGAGATCACTTGAGCTTAATATGAGTAAAGGCCTGTCATCTCTTTCAACTTTTTTGCTCTTCCTTACCTCACGGTAGCATAGTAACAAGCCTATTAAGATTATAATTCCTGATGCAATGGAAGCAAAAATGATTGGCTTCTTTTGTTTGTTATCATGTATGGGATCAAAAACATGATGAAGAGGAGATGGAGGAGGTTGTGGAGATGGAACAAAGAGTGGCAAATCTTCATATGGGAGCTTCGGAGTTGGAGATGGAGATTTGGCTGATGAAACAGAAACTGGGCTTGGTGATGGCTTGGAAAGCAAATATCTATGACCACCTATAAAACCAAAGATTGACACATGATGCTTCCTCAGACTATGTCCCTGCTCTTCTGAAACAGGAGTAGGAGGATTTCTGTTTGTTATGCAATCCAAAAAGTATTGTTTCATATGGGGAGGCAGAAATTTTGTTGCTTTGTGTATGTCCTTTTCTATTGAAAGAGTAGATCTCTTGTCATCACTCCCTTCCAATAGATGCATGTTCAAGTCTTCAATATTATTGTTCCTCTCTATCAATTCTTTCCTGCAATGTTTCCACGCCTGCTCTGCCTGTATCAATAGATTGAACAAATGCAATTCAGCATACAGAAGATGGTAACAAAAGTGACACAATTGAGTGAATTCAAGGTGTTCTTTTAACTGCAACTTGTAGCTAGCTAGACATCTTTTTGCTAGATCAAGGTGTTCAAGATAAAAATGGTAATTGGTAAGTATTTATATATGCTTAACAATAGTTACATGGTAAAATAAAGTCGCGCTGAATTGAACCTAAACCTTTTATATCTGTCATATAAAGTACATAGGTATCACATAATAGGTATGTAATACACATGCATAAGTAGTTTAAGATAATTTGATGAAATGCAAGAAAACTTATACAACACAACAAAAGAACACCAAGTAGAAGAATAAAGCTGTCAAACTCAAAACCACCATTATGATGAATTCATAGCAGTCGATTCAATTTGCATTCAGAATACTAATAAAAATCATGAATTTAAATAAAATAAAAAGAAGAAATGAAAAAGAGAGAAACAAATGCTAAAACTTTGATACCTTTTTTCCATCTAAATGAAGGGACATTGATAAAGCAGCATGGTCTCTATAAAACTCCTCGGGTTTCCACCTCTTCCCCTCTGAGCCCCTTTTGGCCAACGCGCAAAGAAGAATGACATAAACAACCGCATAACCAGGTCTTGGCATAATTCCTTCCAAATTCACCAACCAAAACGCATAATCTCCTTTTCATCTCATTGAACTTGAAAATCCTTTCAACTAGTCTCTAATGCAACAAACGTACCACATGCATGCATGCACCTTGGTCGAAGAGCTTTTAGCTTCAAAGATTATAACAATATCCAAATTTTTCAACTTTTCGAAAAACCCACCAAGGTGGGAATGCCTCTAAATCTTAGAAACGCAGAATCAGATTGGAATATGACAACATGAGTTATTATTTGATGATGTTACAACGTAAGGCGAAGAACCATTCAAATGAACGTGCGTGAGACCAGAAACCGATTCATGCAAATGTGGATATTATTAATATTAATTTGAGGTTGCAGTTGAAGAATTTGTGCAGTGATTTTGAAAGTTTGTTGTTTGTTGTGTTTGAGGGAAGGGACGTCAGAAGAGAGAGAAAGACAACGGCGCGTTGAAGTCCTAAAGAGACGTGAGGAGAACAATGTGGGGTGCCCGTCATGATTATGTCCTCATATCTTTGACTTTTCAATTACTATGAGTTTTAATATTTAGTTTCTTGCCCCCAAATAAATAAGTACAATGATTAATTGTGAATCTATAATCTAGAAATGTAGGGCCTATTTGATTCTAAAAAATTATTTTTACACAACAAACTTTATCAAATAATTTTTTTTATATTTTGTATGACTTTAATGTTTCAACAAGGAAGGTAGATAAGTAATTTACATTTATTTTCAAAATGACATCGTTTTGAGTTAAAAAATAAAAAAATTATAATGAAAAAGACTAGTATAACCTTGAAATAAATTATAATTATAAAAATACTTTGATTTTTGTCTCAAAACGACGTCATTTTGGACTCAATATAAATAAGCTATCTATATTGACGGTAGAAAAAGTGAACACTTTTTTTATTCCGAAAATTAATTTATTTTTTTGAAAACAAAATTCAATCCGCCATAGTTTTTTATTCAATAAAAATGAATTACAAGTGTCACTTTTTAAACAATGTTTCTGCAATATACTTTTTCTTTTCTTTTTCTCTTCTATAGTATTTATTACTTAATTGTAGGGGTGACAATATGGGTTGAGTCCGGCGGGTCAACCCGCCAACCCGCCAAAACGGGGCGGGTTGGGTTGAGGTTTTCAAACCATCAACCCACCTCAATCTGTCCCGCCTAGAAGTGGGTCAAAACGGGTTTAACCCGTCGGGTTATAATTTTTTTTTTTTTTTACAATTAAGTAGTATTTCATTAGTCCTTAAATTTTTGTGATATTCAAATTTTTTTTTATCTTAGTACTTCCTAGAAAAAATAAAGAATAAAAATTTTATTTATGACAAATGTCATCTATATATAAATTTCTAAAGAATGTTTGACAAATATTAGTATACATTTAAGATTGAGACTAAAAAAATATAGAGAAATGTGAAATAAAATAAAATAATATTAGAAAAATTCTTAAAATATAATTTATTTTTGAATTTTAATTAATTGTTTTTAATTGGCAGGTTGGTGGGTTGACCCGCCAACCCACCATAAAACGGAGGGGGTTCATTTTTTCAACCCATATTTTTTGGCGGATCAACCCGCCCTATCCTGTTTTTGGTGGGTTGGTGACGGGGCGGGTCAACCCAAACTGCCACCCTGCTTAATCGTTTGCATTCATAATTTTTTATTTTTAATAATTGCAAAAACAATATTTTTTTAATAAAGCCCATTTCCAACAATGCTTTTATATCTTATGCTAACAAATACGCAATTTTGTGGTAGACAATTAAAAGTTCAAGGTGATTTACAAAATTAATCATCTATCTCTGAGCCAGTGAGCTTCATCTTGTAGTATTTTCTCTTTTTTTTTTTTTTGGATATCCTTGTAGTATTTTCTCAACAAGTATATAAGCAATTATTTGGCAAAAGTAGTGGTAATTTTTATAATATAATGAGAATATTTTCATATGGGGATGTAGCTCAGATGGTAGAGCGCTCGCTTAGCATGCGAGAGGTACGGGGATCGATACCCCGCATCTCCAACGGTTTCATGAAATGGATTTTTTTTGTTTTTTTTGTTCTTTTCATTGTTGGAGATTGGACAACCTTGCATGCTCTGCTTCTGTGATTGTGGTGATCTTATCAATGTAAAGCTTCTAGTTATATGATCAATAATAATATAATATATTCGTTATTTGGGTTTGCTTCTACTTATCTTTTCAATAACATGCTGGTCTTTAATTATTTGCTCGAGCTTAGATAGATTAAAACTTTGCGTAAACAATTTATTTCGTTCCTGTCATTTAGCATTTGCATAAGTATATAATTGTAATAAAAATATTCATATTATCACCACTATTTGGTACACTTTGAAAAGCCGTGTTATATAGGCTTATAGATATATACAGAACATGTAAAACAGATGCGTGTAGTGATGATGAGTTTCTGTACTAGGGGAAAAACTAACCCTTTCCTTCCATTCCTTTCTCATTTTTAGTTTCGGTTTTGCTTAAATAAACGTAAGATAATTGCTACTAGATTGGCAAGTACATCAGTGAGAGCTCTAACACTAACACTCATATCTGTTTCTTTATCCCATGAATATGGCTTCACTGGTTTGGTTGCTTCAAGAAGAACCTCCAGTGGAATCCTTGGCTTTGACCTCTCCATAGGAATTGTGTAATGATAGTACTTCTCTGGTTCTGGACAGTAATCCTGCAAATTTTTGGCATTGGGGGGGGAGAGACATTGATTATTTCACTTCACACACCACAAAATATGAAAACATTATCATCTTTAATTAAATGGAGTAAAGCTAAGTTACCTGATTAGCATGCATCTTTCTCACAAAGATTTTGAATATGTCAAAATTTGTTTTCTGCAGTAACTCATCTGACAAACGGAGGTATGTCACCCCATACATCCTTAGTTTTGGAGGGCCCTTTCTGTTAACACCATTTGGTCTAGCATTTAGAAGAATTTGGTCATAAGCTGCACGGTCATACCTTGAAAGTGCATTTTCCCCTGCAACTTCAAGGTTTTCTATCCATCCTCCACTCAGGACCTGCATGGGAATACACAAATTAGAATAAACCTATGTAGGAAAGATATGTAAATGGTGACTTCAAGAAAATGCATGCAGGAATCATTTCTCTAATCCTATGTGATTGCACTATATTAGTTCACGCCTATGTTTTATGCATTCACTATAATAACTATACCACATACATTATAGAAAAGGAATGAGCTCAAAACAAGCTACATTGTGGATAACTTGTTTCACTGAATAGCAATATGTCATGGAGTTTATCAATCACAAATTCTCTTGATTTTGCAGAGAAGGCATTATTAGATTGGATATGAAGTTGGAATAAATTACTTGCTGAACAAGTTCCTGGGCACCACTTTTGGCTTCAGCTCTTTGCTCAGAATTTCTCATCTCAAGACATGTAAAGTTGAAAATAGCATTATGTCGGGAGAGCATCCTTGCTATAGGACGGTATCCATCTCTATCATTTAAGTTGTAATATCCTGAAGTAAGCTCTGCAGCATGGTTTTCTGTTTTATACCACCAGTGGATTCCAGCAACCTATTTTTATAAGAAACTGTTAGCTGATTGATGCAAAAAAAAAAGGGCTTATTAATTTACCATTTATATTTAAGAGTTTACTTTTGCTGCTAACTTCACTTTACAGCCTAGGAATGCTTTGTTGGCTTCATCCAGGATTTCATCACCATGTATCAGCAACTTGTTGGAATACCATGTCAGGAAAAATTTCCCTTTCTCTGTTTGGTAAGTTCCCTTTGATCTGAAAAATTCTGTAGATTCAGGTTTGTCATTGCATTCCCCAGCATTATCAGGAAGCTCCCATTCAGGGTGGCCTGCCCTTGTTGCAGCCTCTTTGAAATCAGCTTTAAGATATTTGTCATAGCACTGCAAGATTTTGGATGTATTTAAAGAAGTTTTAGAATTGGAAAGCATTATCATTATGATATGACTAGTGAATATATACCATAAAGCTAAAACCTTATTTCTTTTTAGTGATATAACCGAATAGTTTATGTAACCATGCACCAATTGCTACAACAAAAAAGTCCAAACTCACCTGAAATTCTCCAATACCTGGAAATACCCACCCCAGACTTTGTGTGTAAGAGGGATATCTGAGTTCCCCCGCAGGGCCAAGTCCTACTTCAACGTCTATCATGAGCTCAGATTCCAAAAAATCTGCCATATTCTCTCTGAAACTCTTCATGTAGTCACGATACATCTGTATCAAACAACCAATTTCAACATCAAGAAGTAAACATGTTAACAATCACTGCTGTATAAACGGATACAGTAAGCAATTTGTCAAGAGGGAAATATAGACTATAGTCAGATTGCTTGAATTGGTGACCAGAAAGACCAACCAATTCCTTTAAATTCAAGATAAAGTTCCCAAAATTGGACTTTGTACAATTACTGATAAGGCTTAGTTAAACTTGAGCTTTAAGTAACATGCAGAGTTGTAAATAACAAATTTTCAAGAAGCTCTCACCTCAATGGCAGTTCGTCCATAAAATAAAGGCTTGTTGTCCACGCCAAGGGACAGACATTCCTTGTTCCTATAACCTGTTCGATTGGTGTAAAAGATGTCAGGGTCTGATTCTCCAACTTCAAGTACCCACTTGGGTAGTGGGATGAAAACAGAATCTCCAACATTCCCTCCACATTGGTGGAATGACATTATAGCTTGCAACTTTAATTTGCAATCTTGAACTAGTTGAAACAATGTCCTATAAGCAGACCAATCATATTGCTGAGGCCCTTTGGATTCTACGATACCCCACCAGACATCAACCATAACCCCATCAACACCTGCTGCGTGCAGCTCCTTGAGCTGTTTCTCTAGTCCCACTCTGTCTTCTAAGACATTCTCATTTGTAACAACTCCCAACTGGCAGGAACCAACACATATTTAAAATGGAATACAACACATTCATATGTTGTTGCATGGTTATATATGTAGACAGAAATTTTAGTTTTATGCCTTACTTGTAGCATCACATATACTGGTACATAATTTGCAAGCATTGGATCTTCGTAAGTTGGAGCAATTGGTGCCTGCATTTTATGAATTCAGAATTTTCAAGGTTACATGCTTCTATTGGTTCCGACCCACCATTATACAAGGCAAACTGTTGTTAATAGAAGCGAAAAAAGAAATAACGTGAGGACAAGAACAAAACGAGGAGGAAAATAGTTTTATCTATTTTTTTTAAAATAAAAATAAAGAGAAAATATGATTCTTTATGAGGGCAAAACTGTAGTTAGAAATAGCCTATGTTGCTCAAATTTCCGTTCTGAGTTTTTATAAAATTTTGATTGGTCACAAGAAAAAATGAAAAGAGAAATTAAATTAAACTTTTTTTTTTAATACAACACTAATTATATTTTTGAGGTGACAAGTTTTAATTCTTTGAGTTTGTCATGATAAATTATATCTTAGTCATAAACATTTAACACTCTTCTTCGTTTATCTCTAAAATTATATTTGGTGGAATAAAAAAAGAAAAAGAAAGGGCACGTGCAAAGATAATGAACCATTCAAATTTCTTACCGAGTTGTTCTAACTTGTGACCACAGCTTGATGATACAGTACTATCATTATAGTTATTTGCTATCCATGAGAGAAAAAAAAAATGGTTACCTTTGGTTCAGCAATTGCAGCTTTCAATGCCATACCAACACCACGTTGTTTCTTTACGTGCCCACAACCCAATTGGAAGGCATGGTTCGTTCTTGGCTTCCTTGCTCTTTCCACACGTATAGCTCTGCCCCTCCATTGCATTCCCTGTTGAAAATACTTTTCTTGAAGCTCAATTGTGATTCTTCCTGTCCCCGTTCCATGTGGTGCTGTACACACCACGCTTTCCATTTCCCGTTAATTAACCTAATTAATCACCTCTTAATATTATTTACTTGAAGTTATATAAACCTCCATTGCATGTAATGAAAATATCTATCAACAAAAGAGAGAGAGGGGGAAGAAAGAGTGAGCAATGGCAATCTTTATTATGTTCTTTCTGTTTATATATGGCTTTAATGATTCTAATAGATAAGTTATCTACATTTTCAAAATGACGTCATTTTTGGTTGAAAAATTAAAAAATTATAAGAAAAAAAGACTATTATAATCTTGAAATAAATTATAATTATAAAAATACTTTAATTTCTGCCTCAAAACGACGTTGTTTTGAGTTCACTGTAAATAAGTTATCTACATTATATATAATATATATATATATATTAGAGCCTTTTTTTAACACAGCTTTATTTTGGTGGGGTTCGGTTCGGGAAATTATGGACCAAATCAGGAACAAGACACACAACACAAGCGGGAGTGGTGGATGTTGCTTAAGATAGTGAGAACTTCTAGACCGTCAGTGTCATTTTTTCACTAGCGTTTCATGTGCATCTCACAATGTCCACGATTCTTTCTTTCTTTTTTTTGTGTATTTTCCCTTTGGGTTACGTTTTTCAATTGGGCTTTATTCAATCAGAATTTAATTTTAGGATCGACGAATCTGGTTGGCATCATAAAGCGAATAGTGGGTATCAATTGGGCTATGTCCTCGGCCCACTTAAATATGCAAAAGTCAATTCAATTAAAAGAGAGTTATTGATGTTATGCTTTGTAATTTAAGAATAATACTTTGTAATCTAATTTAGTGGATAGTAAAAATTCAAAGAATTTATAATATTCCTTTACGATATTTTTTTTATCTAATACTTATATTAATTTAATTAATCAAACAAAAGTACAACTTTTTTTTTGTGTGAGATTAAATTAGTTGAGTCCATCATTTCGAATTATTGAAATAGACTATCTCAACATTGTTTAAAACATTTTTTACTAAAATATACAAGCATTAACCCAAGGTGTTGTATAGTTGGTAAACGGATTGTGCCTAAAAAGAGATCTTATAACTGAAAAGTTACGGATTCAAATTCTAAGCGAAACCATTTGGAGCCAATAATAAATATCATTAGCTTTACATCATAAAAAGGATTAATTTCATTCAAATGAGTGATCGTAATTCCTAATATGGAAAGTAAAATAAAATAAAATAAAATAAAGAGTTTCATTAATGTCATGTTAAAGGAGATAAGTTATCTCATGTCATAGAGATAAATTTGTAGGCTTCACCACCTGAAAAATAAAAAAAAAAATAAAAAAAATATGGCACAATTATCGAAAAATATGTAGGAGAAAAATTTATCACATGTAGCATAAAAGTAGTTTTTCCATAAAATAAATATACAATTATTAGAGGAGGCGGGCAATCCTATCACAAACGTTGACGTGGCAGACATGCATGTCTGTCAGGCTCGGTTCTCTATGATAATTGACTATTCTACTTTTAACTGTTCAAAATTAACATCTGATTCATCCTCGTTCATAGTAGATTCCTTCATGTGAATTGGACACTCTTGAGTGTAACATTGCCCTACCTACTTGCGAGAATTAATGTCCAACTTTATATGCATCTCTCAATTGCTACCCTTCGGTCTAAGGTTCTCTGACACAGTGAAAAGGAATGTTATGTAAAAAATCAAAATTAAATAAATAAAACGTTAAAATCTGATTTACTACAACATAATTTTTTTTTTTTTTTTCCTTTGAAGTTGATCAGTGGCAATCGGCAGCATTTCTTGAGGTAAAAGAATCATTTTTATAATTTTTTTTTTTAGTGGGTGGAAATTGGCTTATGCTAATGGCAAAAAAAGGGGTTTTAAATTTTAACATAAGTAATGCTTACAGAGTGTTAGGAGCAGCCAATATGATACACAGTAAAGTGCAAAAAGTGACCTTGACCGTGGTCCTTATTTTTCTAACACTTGAATTGGCCTTCACGTGCTCACATTAACTCCCCCCACTCTCTGGCCTTATTTATAAGGTAGCCATAACTAACAATAAGTCCTCATATGCAACTCTTTCTCCGTTTTCTTTCTCTCTCAAAAACGCCATGAGAAAAAGACGAAAAAGAACAAATTAACACGACACACAACACCCATCTCTGCTGAACCAGACAAACACAAAACAGATAGAAGGAGCATCTGTACTAGGAAAAAAAAAGAAGAAGAAGAGAAACCAAATTACAAGGACAGCCAGAGAGAGCCCCCACCACCATCATCCTTTGTTTCAGAAAATCAAATAATCTTCTCAGCTGCCAGAACCACTTCAGAGACAGAGAGAGAGAGAGAGAGAGAAAAAAGAGAAGAAAAAATGTGCTACGTGGGGAAAGCAACAAAGATCTTCATCTTCATTGTGACCGTGCTTGTTGTTCTGGGTCTTGTCTTGGGATTCGGGCTCATACGCCGTCACCACCACAACAACACCAACAAATGCTCCGATGGTTCCTGCAATTCTTCTCCGGTTACCTTTCCAACTCCCAATTTCCCAATTGAAAACCCCACTTCTCCTCCTGCTTCCGCCGCTACCACCACCACCCCCACACCACCACCTCCTCCCCTTGGCTCCAACCCATCTTCACCGCCGCCGCCATTGCTGCAGTCATCTCCTCCTCCTCCTCCTTCGCCTCCTCCGCCGCCGGAAACCACCACTCCGAATCCTCCGAGCGTGGCAGCACCGCCTATGAGTACACCTACTCCAGGTTCGGCGCTAGTGACCCCGGGTCCTGTGCATACTATTGCCTAGCTTAGGTAGCTGCATTTTGCAATGTATGATCCGTGATAGTAATTAAGGGCTCTAGAACTTTCTTGATAGCATTTTGTTTTGTTCGATTCTTAATTGTTGAATTGAGAAAAAAAGAGGAACAAAAACAAAAGAATTGTAGGTGGATCTGAGTGTTTATTATTTCTTACATTTTTTTACTGAGGTAGGTGTTTATTGATGTTTTTAATGATTTGAGAGTGAAACAGGGAGAGCATCTTTTGTAAGCTGGCATTGTAAAATTACAGAGCCATCCCTGGAATCTATATTCATTTTCAATGATGACACTGCAGTTAACTTTTTACTCTGTTTTCTTGTCCTGTCTTTGTATTCCTTTAATTAACTTTTTAGTAATAACTATTTTCATCGGATTTGAATCTTTTTACGTGACAAAATGATTATGTTATCATATTATTTGATCATAATTACTTATTTAAAAATTATATATTTTTTTATCTTTTATTTTATCATCAATAAATGATTATAATTAAATAACATAATTACTTTTTCATATAAGAGAATTCGTTTCCTTGTTGTTGAAAGCTGTGTATCTTAGTTACTCTCGGTAGGGGAATCTAATCAGTAGATCACACTTTCATCTTCATCTGGTCTTTTCTTTTTTAATGCTTTTCTATGTAGCACCCATCCTCTTTCATCGGTTGTTTGTTAACTCTTTGGATTCCAAGAGTATATGTGATTATATGAATATTCAATTTGATTAAATTAATCAAATTTTTTTTTTTTTTTTTTATTTTCTTGCAACCACGAAACTATTTCACCTTTTTGTAATTACGTTGTCGCATAAGTAATCATTTCTTCTTTGTAATTAATAATTGAATATACTAATGGACTAATCATATCATGTATTCAAGTCTAAGTTCGTAGAAGCACTGTTCACTGAATATACTAATGGACTAATCATATCAGTAGAAGAATGATTGGTTTTCCTTTTATTGTCATTTTAGGTAATTCGATCTATATCATTTTCAAATTTTTCTGCTGTAATAATAATGGAAAAAGTATTTATTCTTTTAAATGACAGAATCTATATCCTTTCACTCTCTTAAAAATATGCGATCTACATTTTTATATTTTTTTGTCCACTTTCTCTCCTCCTTTATCTATCTCTTTCTCTCACTTAAAATGACACAAATTTACATCCTTCAAAATAATACACACTTTTCCCAATAATAATACATAACAAGCAAAAGTCATGATTCCAGGTTTATTCTTAATTTGTTTTGGTTTAGTTATGTTGGGGTATTTAAGTGTGATGAAGTCTTATTTTGATTGTAAATGAGCTAAGTGCATATAAATGGAAAGGACCGTGAACTCAATTATTGTCTTAAAATTTTGGGTTGAGATTTACTACTAGACTCACTTGTTTCAGTTAATGTAGCTTAGTTCATTAACGGTGGTCCTCCGTCATGAGTTTCCCTGGCCCACTTATTTATGTCATCAGAGCCGAGTTAGGCTGTAGCTAGTATGGTCTCTGGCTAGAGGCGGATGAAGTATTTGGACATGGATACTCGAAAAGAGGGGACATATATCAATATGAGGTTTCGCACTTAAAGGAAACATTGTTAGGATATTTTTTATAGATAAACCACATGCATCGTCCATTGGAGGCAATTGTTGCAGACTCGGCAAGTGCACTGATCGTGCAAGTAATAAAGAGTACAGAATCGTTACCACAAGGATTATAATTTCAATCACCAATTCACTACTTCCGCTTAAGTTAGACAATCAAAATCAATTGTGAAATTCAATTTGGGTTCGAATATTAAAACAAATTAAAACAAGAACAAGAACGTAAAAATTTGGATTACTTGACAGATAAAAAACGTAGTTAAGGTTTCAACTTCCCCCAATCTCCCCTTTATGTTTTAAATTCACTCTTTTAGATTATTCGTCCATAATAATAAGCCAATCGATTCTACTAATTTGATTAGGATTCAATTCCCTGACACCCTAAATCTTTATAATCTTGAGAGAACCTTATTTTCTCGGTTATTCCTCAAGAAAATAAGTCTTACGTTCAAGAATCATAGATTGCGTAAAACTCTATGTCTATCCCTAAAATCATAAAGATTACTATGAAGTTATCATATACGGATCATGCACCAACATTCTTATTGCCGTGCAGTTACCTAAGATCAATCTACAAAATTCAAGCTCATAGAAAGCATTACGAAAATATAACTTCATTCAAAATAAAAAGGAAGAGTAACATTAAGAATTCATTCAAAACATAAAAGATCAATTGAGTTCCATCTAACCCTAACTACAGATAAAAACTTAAACTAACATGGTAAAATCAAGAATGAAAGAAAAGATTAAATCTTCCCCAAACTTTATGGATATGATAGTATGGTGAGTCTTCAATGCTTCCAATGCATACGTGATCCAAACCTGTCTGTGACTTTCAAGAACATGGACTACGCGCTTCTTATGCTTCCTCTCAGCTTCCGTTCTCCTAAGAGTGATCCGTTCCTTTGATTTCTGCTGCAATTTCCTTTTAAAAGGTTGAAGAATCTGTGCCCTAAGTGAAAACAATCAAATGAGTCTAAGTTGGACTGTAACAGGAGCTTAAGCCTTTGGGATGGTAGTGCAGATTAGTGTGAGGGCGCTTAAGCCCTCTATTCGCAGAGAAATTTTTCATGGTAACACGCTTAAGCTTTCTCTCACATAAGCTTTTTGCTCTTTCTGTGCAATTTGGGCACTTAAGCTCTCTGTTGGGAGCTTAAGCCTCTGCTTCAAAAGATGTAATTTCTTCTATTTTGCACTTGATGACTTCTTTCAATTCTAAGCTCCAAGTCTTTGAACTTCATATTTGCTCTCATTTATACTCATTTACCTTCAAAGCAAGAAAAAATCAATTATTTAATTCATATTTCAATAGTTCATGCTTTTCCACAAATAAACCCTAATTCTCATACATTTGACTAGATAATTCATGTAAAATTAGTTCTTAAAACATGATAAACTAAAGGTTTATCAGCAATCCTATTCAAAGCGGATTCAGAATTAAGACTTTAAACCCCTCCCAAAGATGATATTTATATCAATATGGGATTTCACACTTGATTAATAATTAAGCAAGTGAAGTCCATATAAATAAGAGGACCTATGAACTAAATGTTTTAAGATTTTGGGTTGAGCCGAATTAAATAACTAGTCTCAATTATATTATTAACACTTGATTATTAGTTTGAAATATAAATGTTTAGTTTTAAGGGAAAAGTTAAAAAAAAAAACCTTATGGTATTGCTTTGAATCACTTACATCCCTATGTTTTATTTTTAAACACTTAACCCTTGTGGTTTTTTTCATTCACGTTCCTCTTTAACACTGTTAGAAACTTAATTAAATATATCTATTTTACCCTTCTCAAAAGAAGAAAATAGAGTGACAAAAAAGAAAAAGAAAAATAAGAACAACTTAAAACACTTAAAATACTAAATGAAAAAATAGAAGAAGAAAAAGATAAAATGTGTTTAAACTTTAAATAAAAAAAAGATAAAGGACAAAAAGAAAAAGAAAAAATAAGACCAAATTTATTGGAAATCACAATAGTGATAGAAAAATCTAAAAGTAAAAAAAGAAAAGAAAATAATTTGAATAAAAAAAATCTGAATACAAAAAAGAAAGAAAGAAAAAGATTAAATATACCTAAATAAAAAAGAATAAAATAGACTGAGCAAAATAGAAAAAAACAAATGAATCATGCCCTGCTTTCCATGTTGTGCATGCAACCTGCCTGTGCAAATTAGACAAATTTTGATCGCAAACTTCATTACAAAATAAAAGAAAGAAAACAGAAGGAAAGTGACAATTGTATTTAAATGGGAAGGTCGAAAAGGGCTAACATTTCCTTGTGAAAATGGGAAAATGAGAATTGCATTTTACAAAACTACACTTGCAAGTAATAATATAGGGTATTTTGAATGTATTCGATTGAGTGATGCCACGGGTGAATGAAAGGTCATGTATCATTGTGTTATTGCGACTTCTCAATTCTGCTTTGTGCCCACCCACCTCCTACTAGTCTTGAGTCCTCGCAATATTTTTCTTTTGCGGTGCTGAAAATAGGTTCCCGCAGTGGCAATTACAATCTTTTCACTTTCAGGGCCCAGAGGTCAGTGAATAGCAAGACCCAAATCATGGCCCCGCACTTGAGTGCACTTTTGTTTTTGTTTTAAAAACAATAGGTTTATTTTTTTTGTAAACAAAATCAATAGTTATTACTTAGGGAGAATAACTTACCATGTTGTAGGATAAGTTCTCTCACTCTTACAGAAAAATTGAATTTTTTCCTATAACATGATACATATATAACCCTATTACTTACTATGTTTGTTTTTATTTTATTTTTCCTAGTTTTTGGAGCTATATTACTGTGTTTTGTGGTAGTTGCGCCATAGCTTAGTAGCCCCAATCATGACTGGTTGATCCCTCTGGGCTAATAGCACCCCTCTTTGATTTTTAATTTTTTTTTAGGAATATCATTAAAGCTTGTTTTAGAATAAAAAATATGCTTAATTTTTCTAATCAGTAATATGGTAAAAAACACTTATATTTCTAATTATGATTTTATAAGAGTTATGTTGTAGGAAAAATGATTGTGTCATGTTACTGAGATTCGTTTTTTGTGTCTTAGTTCTTTTTTTTTTTTTTGCTTCAAAAAATATGGGGCCCACAAAATATTGTGTGTAGAAAACTTTACCATGTCATGTTAAAGGACAAACGAAAACCCCTTCTAATTATCTCATTTAATCATTATAATAACTTTATGAGTTTCTTTCATTACTTCCCGTGGAATGTTAAAGAGCCGAGCTGGGTCGGGCTTTGGTTATAAAAGGTTAAGATTGTGTTTAAATGTATAAATCTAGCCTAATATATTACCTGTTATGAATATAATTATTGGCTTGTGGTATGACTTATTTATAAAAAATAAAAGTCTGGTTTAACCTATTAAAAAAATAAGACAACAAAAATTGTCCAAATAGAATATACAATCAACAACACTAATAATTCCACAAAAATTCATAAATTCAATGTATATCAAAGCAACATAATATAGATCAAAATAATTCAAAAAGTATGTTTAACTAATAAAATGAGGTAAAATGGGAAAGAGAAAGAGGACTATTATAAGTAACATAAAAAATATTAAATAAAAATAAAAGTTAATATATTAGGCCAGCCTGAGAGGCTTTAAGGCCAGGCTTTTGAATTAGATCCCGATGCCTTATTAAACGAGCTTTTATACAAGTCCAAGACTGGTTCCAACAATCAATTTTAGACATATAAGTTCAGGTCTTCACGAGTTGGGCCAAAAGCCCCTGAAAGGCCCCTGTTCGTTTATCATCCCTACTTCCTGTATTGACCTTTCAAAGTATATTTACGTATTGTTTGAGGATAATAAGTTTTGGGGAATGTTATATTTACTAATGTTTTAATTTTTTTTTTGGTAAAAGAAAGGGCCGGAGCCCACAAACAAGAAACGAAAAGAAACTAAGCAACAACCAGGGCACGAGCCCGACCAACTGAAGAAATATCAGCTAAGTACATAAACTGAATTTTGGGGGGATGTTCCCCCCAGATAACCTGATTGGCACCCACTTCGCTATCCAGGATATAATTAGCCATCCAGTCTGCACATATGTCCCCCTCCCTATATGTGTGAGAAAGCTTGATCCTCCAATCCTTATGTAACCATGTTCGTATCCGAGAAATTAAATGGCCTTCATAGACTGCTGCATCATTTTTGGTAAGCACAGAGATAACACTCGTCGAAACACTCTCAAGCTCAATGCAACAGAAACCTTCCATCCAAGCAATCTTCAGACCACGAAGAATACCCCACAACTTCGCTTTAAAGGATGAACATGATAGCTTATTGGCGAAGCCTTTGATCCAATTACCTACTGAGTCACGAATAACACCATCACAAGCAGCTGAACTAGGGTTTCCACGGGTAGCCCATCCATATTGAGCTTTACAAAGCCACCCTCTGGGAATTGCCACGCAATGCTAGATATCACGGTTCTCCTGCCCATACGATGATTGCTAGGACTATTAAAGGCAGCCTCTACCTCTCGAACAAGGTTATTGATCATGCGCTCCTTAATAGCTAAATTAAAGAGTGAAACCCTATGCCGAATCTCATTCCTCTATTGCCACAACTTCTAGCAGGTTAATAAAAAAATAGTTAACCAATTCTTTGGAACTCTTATCCCCACACTTCCTACAAAATTTACCGAAAATCATTGCTCCAAATCAGCTTCAAAGAAGGCAAACTCAAAAGTATTAGGAACTAATCTACTCCACAAGTTTTTCACCACTTGACAATTCCTCAATGCATGGAGGAGGGTCTCTATCGTTCTTGGTAACTGGGCAGATATTAGACCCACTACCCCATTGAGCAATGTAGTCCATGGTGAGCAGACGATGGTGCAATACCTTCCACATCAGCAACTTAGTTTTTTGGGGGCCATCCCATATCCATAAAGAGTGCCACAAGTTATTTGATCCCATTGCACTTTCCTCAACATCTAGAAGCCAATCATAAACATCTTTAAAAGCAACAGATGAACTACTACCAATCCTCCATCTTTTCCTATCCAAACCATTATCGAGGCTAGGAGGAGGAGTGTTATGCAGCAGGTCAATAGCAGTAGGTGAGACCCACTGCTCTAACAACGCCCAATCCCAGTCTCCTGAAGGTGTGGTCATGTCTGCCACTTTCTTGTTAGCGTCAATCTCTATTGCACCAGCAAATGCCATGTCTTGGATGCAAGAACCTTGGTCTAGCCAACTATCACACCAAAAACTGATCTCCCTACCATCCCCAAGCTCCTAGACAAGCAACCCTCAAGAGATTTCCACGTCCTAAACATATTTCTCCAAAGTTTGGAATCTCCTTTCCGCTCTTCAAATAGCCTACCCCTTCTATCATTCGACTCATACTTAGTTTTGAGGACTTGCACCCAAAGCTGATCGTGATCAGAAATCACTTTCCAAGTCCTTTTTACTATAAATGCATCATTTATAAGATCCAGCCTCTTCAGACCCAAGCCACCATACACTTTAGGCAAGTGCTCCACTTGATTAAGTGACGTCTGCAAAATCCATCAGTGTCCCCTAGATAAAATCCCTCTGGATTCTTTCGACCTCGTTACAAACTAAAACAGGAAGCTTACAACTTTGTAGTTGAAAATATGGAATGGAAGCCATAGTTGATTGTGCCAACGTAATTCGACCAGCTTGGAAAATGCACTGCATAATTTCTCATTTTTTAACCGTTGATTTCAAATTGATCTAACGATAATCAATTAAGTAATAAAAATAGTAAGTCTAAATTGGTAGTAAGTATAACCGCCCCATAAGTTTTAGATGTCTCAAATAACTTCACTCTTATGTTGAAATTATCCTCTAATGTTTCCATAAAAACTGAGATGGACACGTCTTTCCCCATAAAAGAAGTCCTCTTTGCCAATGCATACATGAGGTTTGTATAACCATTGTAATGTTAAGATTGGTTTGTGTGGTTTAGCGTAATTCACGATCATCCATCCATTGAGCGGAAATGATTTAAATTACCATTTGTTGTGATTACATACTTGATTTCTAAAACCAAAGACTACACGATATAACAATGTTATCTATTTCTTATTATAAAACAACATTTGTTTAGGGAGATCACGTCAATTAACGGCACGCATCAAGCCATTCCAAAAGCAAAAGGCTAGTTGTATTTCGTTACACGTCATAGACGATCACATTAATTGAAAACTCTGCACAATATACTAACCTCAATGAAGTATGAACTAATAACTATTATCGTAACAATTAATATAATTATGATGTCAATTTCGATAACGTCATTGCTAAGAAACATCACTTCAACTGCCCCACCCAACTCTCACAAAATAGTCCTCTGTCAAAAAAAAAAATGATAACTCCTACAATAGAAAGTTATATGTACTTATATATATATATATATATTTTTTTGGTAAGCATATGTACTTATATATTTAAAGATATAGTTGTACTCAATCTTATTATATATATAAAATTTTTAACACCAAATTTTAATATTTGATTTTTGTCAAGTTATTATTTATTAGGAATTAAACTTATTAATTAATATTAATTTTCAATAAATGATAATCGTTGATAGACAGAAGTCCACAGATAGAATTTAATGTTAAATTTTAAAATTTGATATCGATGTCAAAGGATTTGTCCCTATATATATATAATATATAGTAGGAATTTTTTTTACAAACTTACAAATTACACTATGTTTGACCGATAATACTCTTCTCAAGAGCATATTACTGGTCAGACATAATATAGTTTGTAAGAGTTTATAAATAATTTTTTTTTAAATATAACCTTTCTATATATATATATATACATATAGAGACAGGATCCTTTGACACCGGTGTCAAAAAAAAAGTTTGACACCTCATCTGAGAGCTGTTAGATTAAAAAAAATCAACGATTCTGATTTGTAAGCATGTGACACCATTGATTTTTTTTAATCTAACGGCTCGAAGATGAGGTGTCAAACTTTTCATTGACACCGGTGTCAAAGGATCCTGCCTCGTATATATATATATATATATATATATATATATATATATATATATATTATTTCTTGGGACAAGTTATATTTACAAATTTTTTTGTTTACAAACTCTTACAAATTACACTATCTTCTTTGAGAGAATACTCATTACACTATATTCTCCTGGAAGAACATAATGTAATTTGTAAAAAATTTCAAAAAAAATTTATAAACGCATTTTTTCTCATTTTTCTTATGCTATAGATAATTTTATGCGCACATAAAAATAAGTGAACCAATCTGAGTAGGATTTGATGGCGTTTGCTTCGCTCCTCTGCACTGTATCAATGTAATGCAATGTATTGTTAATTGGCCATGAAGCACTGTGCCAGAATGACAAACAATCTGCTGCTTCCGTCACAGCCTCACAATCACAGTGACTTTCTCTTTCCTCTTATAACGGATGATAATTGAGAAGGGACAACTAAAACAAAGCTTACAAATGAATAATGTTGTTTTATGTTACATAGTCATAGTACTATATTCTTACGCTATTCACTACTCTCTCAACCTTAGTTGATACACACCCTTCTTCTCCCTTCTCGCTTCCAACATGGACATCGATTCCTCAGGAGCCTCCACTTGGCTCTATGATTATGACTTTGATATCTCAGTTGATGGAGTTGACTTCATGGCTGCAGACTCTGGTGGTTTCAGCTGGGTGCCTCAGAGTCACACCTTCAAGGGTCCTTCAAATATGAGGTGGGTTTGTGTTCTTCTTCAACTTCGTGTTGACAATTGGAATTGCTGTGAATATTGTATTTCTTATTGTACCTTTATTAAAAAGCTAGAACCCTGAATTATCCCCAGCTGCTTCATGATGATTAATTTGTAATTGCAGTTTGGAAATGGATTACTCACTGGATTCAACTGTCCTGGAAAATGGCCCTTCAAAACGGTAATATCTCTTTTGTGGCTCTCTAAAGAGTACATGAAGTTGTACCTTCATAACTGTTTAACCACTATTTAATGGACTTCAAGGTTTTGTGATTTGGCATTTTGACCATGTAGCAGTCATAACCAGAAAAGTTTAGAAATTTATACAATTTGCTGCCTTTCCTATGACATGCTTTATGAATTATGAGATTCTACAGCAATAGAGCATCCAATTACCCAAATGTTGTTGATTACAACTTTATATACAGTTTTCTCCATGTGTGAATATAGAAGAAGAAATTAATGTTATATATTGAGTGAATGTGGGTTTGAGTAAAACAATTTTATCACAAATTGAATTTTGAAATGATTCTTCTAATTTCCTCTGCTAGCTAATCATTGTCAGTCACAATAAAGAATATGGACATAAAATATTGAATATTGAACATGCTTGGATTTAGTTTAAATATTGAATAAACATTTTTTTTTTCTTAATGAAATTTGTCTGTTAATTGATTAAGGAATCATGTATTCAATAAGTCTGCTTTTTAAGTCAAAATTTGTGATTAGTTGGCATCTTTGTCTTTTTTAACTCTGTCTCCTTGCTCTCTTATTTTCTCTAAATGATTTGCCACTGTTATGGCTTCAGGTTAAGGTCTGAATCATGTGCATCTGGCTCCAAGGCATGTCGTGAGAAATTGCGAAGGGATAAACTAAATGAGAGGCATGTTATTATTTTGCATATTGTCTGACTGAGTTTAGTCTTCTAAATCTCATGTTTTCAATTTGACATGTTTTTTAAGGTTTCTGGAATTGAGTTCTATCTTGGAGCCTGGTAGGCTGCCCAAAACAGACAAGGTTGCTATATTAAGTGATGCGGTTCGAGAGGTAACCCAATTAAGAAATGAAGCCCAGAAGCTGAAGGAAATGAATGACGAATTACTTGCAAAAATTAAAGAATTGAAGGTTATTTTCTGTTTTGTTGTGGTTATTTTGAAGCTTAACCATTCTTCTGATAAATATTCAACCGTGAGATTTTCTTAACATGGGTAAATGTGTCTATGCATAGTTCATCCTTCAAGCCTAATAGGATTGTTCACTCTCCTTGTCTAATAGGCTCTTTTGTGAGAGGGCGTATTAAAGAAATATAAAATCATTAATGTGAGTTTCACCTAATAGTTTAAACTTTTGGATTGAATTGGTTGTATTACGTAATGTCATTATTTCTGAAATTTTGGTGGCTATGATTTCTGATTCTCAAAATAAGTGGCTATCATGTGAGTTTATATGAATTGTAGTTCTGAATTTCTGTTTCCTTGCAGGCTGAGAAGAATGAGATTCGTGATGAGAAGAATAGACTCAAGGAAGACAAAGAAAAGTTGGAGGAACAGGTCAAGTTGTCAAATGTACAACCCAGCTTCATGCCTCATGCCCCGGATGCTAAAGGGCAAGCTGCTAGCCACAAGCTGGTACCTTTCATTGGTTACCCTGGATTTGCCATGTGGCAGTTTATGCCCCCTGCTGTAGTTGATACATCAAAGGATCATCTGCTTCGACCTCCAGTTGCATAAAGTGGTTAGCATCCACTTATTTGTTGTCTGTGTGCTTGTATTATAATTTTGTCCAAGTTATTCATCATGTCCTTATTGTGTGTTTTCTAAAATCACATGCTGAAAGTGTGCTCGGAAACTGGTTAATAAGATAAATTTGTGCTACTACTATCTAAATTGTAATAAGAAAATGATTTATGTCATGGTTACAAAGTATGTCGCATGATTAAAAATCAAAGTGAGTTTAACTGATTGCTTGCTAGAATGTTCTCTTTCGTCTTGATCCAGGACTCCAGAAGGAAATTTTCTAAACCAAAACCCAATAGCTCATTTGTCTATTTTTATCACCAGTACTTATTTCATTTTCCACAAGACAAAGAGTGTCTATATTGTTGCATGATCTTCACTGAATGCCAAGTCCAAATCAGATAATATAAGATTCGAGATTTGCACCAAGAAAATCACCATATACCTGCTGAGCCAAAGTTCTGTGAAGAGTTAATTCAGCGATGGTTTATAGAGAGAAGCTTTTTGTAGTGAGAGCGTGTGGGGAGAGTAATTAGAACGAGAGTGGATTGATCATCAATCAGTTAACAACACAAAAATTTTCCTATGACTCAACTAACTTTTCCTGTACTGTTTTATTTGTGTTGTCCCTCAATATGCATCAAATTGAGCCTAAAAATAGTTCTATCTTGTTCACAGCAGCTGCTATAGTATGAAAGTAGTTCAGAGTCATTTTGATATTTTAAAGCAAGTTTGAAGATTTGAAGTTGCCTAGTGATTGTCCTTGGTAGGAAGGCCAAAAAGCAGTTTAAATAATAGGTTATAAAATCAAATCAATTGTTGACAAGAGATATTTTTATCAACTAGTAAAGCATACTCTTATCATATCTCTAAAGTTGGAAGCAATAAGCACACCAAAGCAATAAAGAGAAACACCAAAAAACAAATTTTCACACAGAATAAGCTCAGTAGCAATGGTTGAGTGAGATTTTTCCCATCCTTAGAAGGCCATAAGCATCATTAGTAAGCTTAACACTATCGCAATGGAGGTGTGTAGATTGCCTTTCCTGGTCGATGAAACTGAGAGGTCTGGTGAATGTTGTGCTAGAGGTGAGGCAGCAGCTGGAAATTCAGTGGAAGGAATGACTGGAGAGAGTGTAGGACTTTCAATATGTGTTTCTAACAATGGACTTGGTGCTGCTGGAATATATTCAGGAGATTCTGCTGGTGAAGTAGTAGATTCTTCTGAAGCAGGAGAAGGAATGATGGAAATAACTGGGGAATCTGCAGGTGAAGGAGCTGCTGATGGTGCAGGAGAAGTTGCACTGGCAAGAGTGTCTATTTCAACCTTCATTCCTTGGCTGCAATGTCCTGGTGTCCCACAGATGAAGTATCTTTTTTTTGGTGAAGTGAGAGGGATGGTTGTGGAGCCATCATTGTAAGATTGAATTGGGTTAGTTGGCTGGCAGGAGTCATAGTCTGCCTTAGTAACTTCAGCCACGTTATGGTTTGGAGGGTACTGAAAAACTGCATGTACACATGTCAATGTCGTTAACTTACAAGAATATTGTGCATACGATGTAAATTTGTTCAACAAAGAAAAAAAGAAGGTAATGTGTTCTTTTTAAGTAAATCAAAGCATGAATCAGGATTATGTCTCATGAATGCATGCTAGTGACTTACTGAGATTGTCTCCCACTGAAAATATTTGGGATGACGCCCATGATTGAAGGTTTGAGTTTGTATCCCACCCACCATTCGGTCCTCCAACAATGTGATTTGTAGCCATGGCCAATTTGATGAGTATAGCCACAAAAGATACCCTGATGATGTTTTCAAGTACACCCATGTTTGCTAGCTGCCAAGTATGGAATGTCAGAGACAGAGAAGAGTCACAAGAGATGGAAACTGATCAAAGTTAATTAGACAGATATGACTGATGTGACTTGAGTATGGAGGTCCATATATAGAGAAAGGCATAGAGGAATTTGGTGAAGACTCTTTAGAATGATGATGATTCTGAATGCTTGTGATTCAGTCATGCAATGCTGGAGTAGGTATATGATTATCTTAGTTGGAATGCAAGTGCTTTTTCTTGTCTGTCTTGACTCTTCTACCTAATTCCTTTATCTTAATTTTTCGTGCAAAGAGGAAGGGTTGGAGGCGTTTGGGTGGTTGATGCCTGGCGGATTCACTGGTGTAGAATTTTCAGGTGATAGTTGTTGGATTGGCAACAACTCAAGTTTGGCATTTTCCACCTTTATAATTTGAAAACTGTTTTCATCAATTCCACTACCAGAAATTTGTGACTTAGTTCACTTCCCCGCACATCTTTCGACCAAATTTTTTTCATTGGAATCTAGAGTCTAGCCAATCAAAAAAATTGTGACTTAGTTCACTTCGTGGCTTTGCAGTTCCCTGGTGATGCACCTAATCCAAGTATTCAACTAACCCATCGTGCCAAAATATTAAACTAATATAGAACAGGAACATTATTAAAAAGCAGAGGAAACTTGTATTTATTAACATTATAACATCAAAAGCAGAGTTTCATACGGAATACGAAATCCGGGTGAAGCTGATTTTTTACAAAAACAGCAGTGGTTGGGAATCGAACCCAGCCAAGATAGTGAAAAGTATTACCATTTATTATTATAGGCTACCCTTAATTGTTTGATTAAAATCTATCTTATAATAGATTTATTACATAATTTAAGGGTAAAGGATTTCTCCAGTCAGATAAGTTATCTCCGTTGAGCTCAAAATGACGTCGTTTTGAGGCGAAAATCAATATTTTTTTGTAATTTTAATATATTGCAGGGTTATATTAGTCTTTATTATTATAATATTTTAATCTTATAATCCCAAAACGACGTCGTTTTGAGCTCACTGGGAAAATATTTTTCCCATAATTTAATATAAATTTATTTAAATCAGTTTAATTAATGATTCACTAGTTGAACTAATGACTTAGTATCTCGATCGAATTGATGACCGGACCGAGTTTTAAAACATTGATTACAAGTTTAAACTGTTAGGTGAGATTATATTAATGATTTCATATTTCTCTAATATGCTCCTTCACACGAGAGTCTATTGGACTTGAAGGATGAATGATGTATCAGGTTCAACTATCTTGCTAAGAAACTCCACAATATCTTATTTTAATTAATAACCAATTAGTCATGCCCTGCTCTTTCAACTCAAAAACTTAAGTTATTGGATGATATTTTATTAATGATTTTATATTGGAAGATGCATGTAACGCCCGGCCACTTTTAAGAATCAATGACTGTCCCCACACACTAACACGAGACTTTTCAGTGTGCTTTGTCCTCACTCGCACACTTCCCGGGAAAACTTCCCAGGAGGTCACCCATCCCAGAATTGCTCAAGTCAAGCACGCTTAACTCAAGTCAAGCACGAAAAGTAGATGCATCTTGTTAGTATAGGTAGTACAAATTAATTCTTATAAGCCATTCCTAACTGTACCGTCCCATACCAGCACAATCTCTGGAATCCCTCTCTTTCGGGTGTTGATTCGATTCTTTCATGAACCTCCAAGCTGCAAGATTTGGCATGACCCGCTCATTGTCCGTGCCCTTTCGCACCGGCGATCACTCCCTGCCCTTGCCCCAGCTCTTGGGATACATGCCCACCAGCTTCCGCCTGGTTCATCCTCGAACCACACCGTACTGGAAGAGAGGCCCTGCTCTGATACCACTTGTAACGCCCGACCACTTTCAAGAATCAATGACTGTCCCCACACACTAACACGAGACTCTTCAGTGTGCTTTGTCCTCACTCGCACACTTCCCGGGAAAACTTCCCAGGAGGTCACCCATCCCAGAATTGCTCCAAGTCAAGCACGCTTAACTATGGAGTTCTTTCGATACGGGCTACCGAAAAGTAGATGCATCTTGTTAGTATAGGTAGTACCAATTAATTCTTATAAGCCATTCCTAACTGTACCGTCCCATACCAGCACAGTATCTGGAATCCCTCTCTTTCGGGTGTTGATTCGATTCATTCATGAACCCCCAAGCTGCAAGATTTGGCATGAGCCGCTCATTGTCTGTGCCCTTTCGCACCGGCGATCACTCCCTGCCCAGCTCTTGGGATGTTACAATGCATCGAGTAGATGCATTTCTGTTGCTAGAAATCGACCCCTATTTAGAGAATACATAAGGGCTAGCTTTGAGTTAAGACTTAAGCCGATGGCAGCTTATATTTATGCTTTTCTTTTTTCTTTTTCTGAAGCACTCCTTGATCTCAATGTTACAGCCAGCACGATAATGTGTTATGAACCACTCAGAAATCTCAATCTAAAAGTTTAAACCTTATAGTTCTCGTTAAGAGAAAAATTAATTAGTTAAGCTGCATAGAAAAGGTTTACATTTATGTTTAATCTCTTGAAAAAAAATTGTATAAATATTGCTTGACTCTCAAATCAATAAATGATATGTACAAAATATTTTTTAAAAATAGATGTATTTGTAGCATGGCTTATATAATTTTGTACATGTTATTGTTAATCATTCATTTGAGTACCTATGGTAAGTAGTGTTTACCTAGGAATTTCTCCAAAGGGCTATTCCACTGCCATATGATCATTTATTTAGTTATCAAGTATAACAGAACACAATTTGCTGGGGATACAGTATTAGAAACTTCTAGGCATCAATAATAGGATACAGTTCATATCTAACATAGCAGCTACCACCCACAACCCGTCCACCTTGCTTTCCGTCACAACAATTTGGAAGTTCCCTAATAGCATCATCAAGACACTTCTTACAAACAGGGCCAGAGAGGTCCCTTGTACACTGAGCCAAATAATACAGTGTTTTTGATTCTTCAAGCTTCGATTCCCCAGTGGCATATAACTTGTGAGTTTGAGATTCTTTGTAAGAGAAGTTGCTTAACAACTTATTCACTTTATCATTGAAAGTGGTGACATCATCAACGTCGTAGATGTAAATCTTGTACAACTTATCATCAATTTTCCCAAAAAAAGTACTCATTTCTTGAAGCTTATTGTTTACTTCGTTGACACAAGACATGCAGTTTGTGGTGTCAAAATCACCACGACCCAAGGCTCATTCACTTGGTCTATGCCTCGGCCAACGGAGCTAAATCCAAAAGTAGTAGGTGGTACTATGGGGGTATAACAGGTCAAACAACTGGTTAATTAGACATGATTCTATTTAAAATGAATTAAATTCTTGTGTTTCTTCATTCTTAAGCCAATAATATTTTAATTTGATAGATACCCTAAATAATCATTTTAATTCAAAAATTTAAGTTGGTGGGTGAGATTATATTAATGATTTTATATATTTTTAACAAGCTCTCTCATACGAGGATCGAAGCCGTGATACCGAGGCTCTGATACCATGTAAAGAACCAATTCAACCCAGAAGCTTAAGCTAATGAGTGCTAAAGCACATTGACACAGTCCAATCAATGCCCAAAATTCTTAATCACTTAGGGCATAGACTAATTACCTATAAATAGGGAACTTCAACACAAATTAAGCAACTTTTGATAATTCAGAATTGATGAATAAATGAATTGATAATAAACACGATCGTTTCAAGTAATAAAAGTGATAAGTAAATATCGTTTCCTCGAGGATTACTGCACCAAGTATTAACTTAACTATTCCTCTTAAGTTGGAAAAGAAAATTTGTTTGTTTTGTGAAAGTGATTGATTTTGGAATTTTAAAACAGAATTTTAAAACAATTAAATTTAAACGCAGAAAATTAAGAACAATTAAATTTGAATGCATGCAAGAGTATCAAGAACGTTAGGAAAATATTGATGAAAAATTTGTAAAAAGACTGTAGCCATGATGCACTTCACCTCCGATCCTCCCTTATATTCCTATATTGTATTTTATAATTAACTAATTGGTTTGCTCAGACAATTCATTATTTCCCTATAAAATAGTTGAACCATAATGTCTTAGTGATTTCAACCCTTTAACTTAATTAGAATCCTAGTGTCCTAGTAATCCCTCTTGAATTAAGCATTAAACAAATGAATTAAAAGTCTGTAATCTATATAAGCCTATGTCTAGATCATACACAAATTGTTATTCTACCCTTGTCCAGACTAAAACTCCAATATGTCTATTGTGAGTCCTAACCCTCAAAGCCCTATAATTAAAGTGACCAATTCTAATCAGGATATGGAAATATTAACACAAGCAGAATAAACCAAACTAACTAATTAAATTATAAAAATAATATAGAAAATATAAAGGATTCACATCGGGTCTGTGATCCCAACTACAAAAAGAAATTAGCCAGACATATTCATGTCTGACTTAAACAAATTAAAATAGTAAAAAAGAATTCATAACAAAGAAAGAAAAGAAAAAGATGAAGAAGAAAGATCAATGGTCTTCAATCTTCAAGTTCTCCGGAATCCTGATCTCCAGCGTTAGTCTCCTCATCTGAATATTGTTGCCTCTGTCGAAATCTCTGGTGTAACACCCCGTATATACCCGGTAATGTTATCATACTATTGTATTAAGCTGCGCTTAATTAAAAACTGCGGAATATCTTTTTCTTTTCCAATTATGACGTCATTATACTTAGCCAAGTTGATTACTTAATCAATTTCATAAAAACAATGCCTGTATGTAAATTGCAAGACAACTAACTGAAATACCTCAATATAAAATATAAAGTGAGTATCTAAGTCACGACATTACGTACATCACGTAAATCGGACAATAATCCTGATACATTATTACAACTCCAACTAAAACAAGACATAACAAGTCTACGTGGCATGGACAATCCCCATGCTCACCAAATCAACAGCATACACGACAGAGTCTCAACAAGATAATCCAAAATCATAACACGAAGCTAAAAGCATAAAAGCAGCAAGCATATCTAGCATCCAATATGTCAGCATATAATATCATCAATATCTAACTCAGCTCCGGCCTCCTGCCGCCTGGGGCCTCAACCCCCACATTACCTGATCCTGAAATAAGCATTCCCCAAACGTGGGGTGAGATCTCTAAACTAGAAATCTCAGTAAGACAAGGGGTCCTCAAGGATCTTCCACCCCAAGCTCACTTACATGTGCAATATAAGTTCTAAAAGCATTTATATCAATATAAGTTCCAAAACTATGCAGTGCAACAGATATTCATGCCATGTGTGTTATCACTATTCTACTGGCCAGAGAAATGCAGGAATACGTCTATTACCCACACGTAGTACAAGGAACACCGCTTGCACCTCACCCACAGCCTCACCATCTTGTATGTACCACATACTCAGGCTTACCGTATAGGTGGAACACCACATGCATATCATAAAGGCACTAGCATATAACAGCTCAATAGCATTTCCAAAACATCAAAAGCATGTAACACAACATGCATATAACCATACCCCCATGGGACATGTGGAACCACAACATGGCTAAACCGAGGACACGAAAGCTTACCTCTTAAGCTAACTATCCAATCCAAGAGTCCACAGCTCAAGTCCAACACACAGCAGATCACGATCTGATTTAGGACCAGTAAGCATATCAACATTCATAGCTCATAAGCATTAACATAAAGACTACATTTTTTCTTTACGTTTTACGTCTTAGGGCTAGCTTCACACAAAGCCATAAGCCCTTAATCACTTGATTCTGACTTAGTTCATTAATTACAGAAGTTCAACTTCATCAATCTAGGGTCCACAGACCCCCAATAGCCTACTGTATGAACAGTACAGCCACTGTTCTACGAAATCCCAGAATATCCAGATATTCCTCGGGGCATATCCGGATATCCAATATCCAGATATCTCACTGTACATATCCGGATATCCAGATCCCCATATCCGGATATCCAATATCCGGATATTTCACGATCAGATATCCAGATATTTCACGACAGAATGCAGTTTCTGCATTTCATGAAGATATCCTTCTAAGGTTGGGTTTTTAACACTTAAACACGTTAAAGCATGCATTTTTAGGCACAATAAGGTTCATACAATTGTTGGTTACTTGTTTAATTCATTAAACATGCCAAGACATCAACTTTAACCCAATAAACTCATGATCAAAGGTGGTAACACTTACCCAAGGTTCAACCAGCCACAAAAGGTGCTCTTGGAGCTCACAATACAACCCCAAGGTTCTGACTTGGTTCCAAAACGAAAAAGGCACACCAAGGTTGGTTCTTTCTCCACAAAGGTCACTCCTTGGACCTCAAAATGCCAAAACAAAGGCTCCCTCAATCCCAACCCAAGAAGGCAACACCTCAAGCTCACTACAACAACATCACAACTCAGAATGGAGCTCACAACACTCTCACCATGATAGTTCCCACTCACCCAAGGTGGTTAAATGAAGAAACAACCAAGAAAAATGGTCTCTTGGAGGTCTCAAAGGAGGAAGAAGGAGGTACAAGGCTGCTGCACACAAGACTCAGCAATTTCTCACGTAGAAATGAAGGGTGGCTGACCTAGGATCATGTGCAAGGGTCCTTAAATAGCTCACTTAAAATTAAACACGCAATATTAACTTTAATTGCTACGCTTAGCATTTTAATCCCAAACTCAGGATTCTTAACCTTCTCAATTTTACAAGAATTATCATATTTTTATTATATTTTTTGGAGCACCTTTCCGGTATGCGCTTTTCATAGCCAGTATCAGTTTCTGGCATCAGTTCTCATTATTTTGACTTGAAACTCGTTTTACAAGTCCTATATATTATTCTAGTAATTATCATGTATTTTTCATAATTTTCTGGGATACTTTTTCGGTACGCATTTATACCGACTAGCAGAACCGGTATCTGCACTTTTCTTCCGAAAAGCGACTTTCAGCATTCTTAATCACTTACTATAATTATTAGAGTCTCATAATAATTATTAGGGTCAATTATGGAATTATTTCATAATTCTCATAACTAATTAATTAATTACCTTAATTAACGGTGCAGGTTCTTACATCTGGTCTCACCATTCTCTCCAGCCAAAGATGCTTTCCTCTGGGGTCTTAGTCTCTTTTTATAGACTTTGTGCCCTTGTTTAGAAATCATGATCATATCTTCAATAGAATCTTCACTAGAATCTCTAATCTATATTTGATTCAATCCTTCAGATATTCCCCTTTTTATTTAATGGAAATTTTTCCTTAAAAATATTCAACAAAGATTTGATAAGATCTTGAATGATTCAGAAATCCAAAGCAACTCTACTTGATATCTCCAATTTATCTCTTTATTGAGCTGAAATTACTGCAAAATATCAGAAATCTTATGAGAATATTATTGAGAATAAAATAACAATTTAATTATAATTCTCATAACTTTTAATTACTTTTAAATCAATTTCATGCTCATATTGACCCTTAATACATAGTAAATTGGAGACTCATCAAATAATTCCCAGATTTAGACATTGTTGTCCTCAGCAATAAACTAGAATAAACACTATGAAGTAGGAACACAACCTTGTGAGAAGAGACACATAAAATTCAATCATAACATCGCATCAAACAAAAATTTATAGCAGAAGCTCATGAGAGTACTATGCTAAGCATGAATGATTTTTAGTGTTGAGAATTTCAAACAAGACTTTTCAGTTTCAAAAAGGAAATTAGAATCTAACTTGAATACCCATCACTAAGATAAACAATACACTCATCACTCAAGTGTTTGGGGTATAATCACTCAATCTATCAGTGTAATAATACTACCATAAGCTTGATCTTATTCTCAAGTTCCTAAAGATAAGAAACATAGATAACATATAAAAATCGATCCAAAGGTCATTTTAGGGTTGTAATGTGGCCTGGTTTAGGGGTAGAAATATTTGAAAAGTAGCTAATTTTATTGTGTGAGTTTGAAACACATTTAATTCAAGGCTCAGTCAACTCTCAAACAATTTTTCACTACTTTTTCCTTTTAATTCAAGATTTTTATTCCTTTTCCACCACCTTTTTCTTCCTTCTTGCTAATAATTTATAGCATAAATTCTCTTTCTTTTCCTTTTGCACATCCTCTTTTCAGACAGATTTCTTTCTTTCT